TTTAGCAGTAAGCACACGATTCCTCCTTGCACGTTCTGTACTTGATGCATTTCATTAGGTCCTTTGGCAAATCCTGGGCCAAAAGTGAAGAGATGCCTCTGAATCACAGGAATATTTGGCCCTGGGCTTCACCAAAGCGTCACTGCAGTGGGCACCAACCTGGCTTTAGGGGGTTCCTGCTGTGAGGTGGCCATGGTGGGGATGCTCCGGTGCTGTTCTCCATCACCATCGGGGTGCAGGATTCGGTTGCTGGGTCACACCGAGAGGTAGGTACGGGAATGTTGCTGAGATCCCTTGGGAAGATGGGGTTGTTATGGGATGCTGTTCCTCACACCCTCTCCATCAACCTCGTGCTGTCCCATTGCTTTTCCAGCAGGAGCTGCTGAGCAATCAGCCATGGATTTTTAAGTTGACTTTGCCATGCAAACCCACCGGTGGTCTCAGTTTTGCAGCATTGTTGTGAAGGGAAATGCACGTTGGTGTAAATGGGAGAGAGGGGATGTTTATGGCCCACTTATGGGGCCTGTTTCTGTGCCTGCCATTAACTGCCTCCACAGGAGCGATGGGGTTGTAGGGTGGAAGGTCTCAGGGTCTCTTCCCAGCCCTGCCATGGGCCTGGGATGAAGACCGTGGCAGGAGGCATGGTTTGTGGTCTCACTGGGTACATGTGTAGGTGCTCCCTGAGCAGAGTGGTCCCCATGAGCTCAGGTGATGGTTTTCCCAGGGTAGGTTACTCACTGCTGCTGCTGTGTGTTGGTGTGATTTGGAGGCCGGGTTTGGTCGCTGATGGGCTCCACGTTGCTGATCTGGTGGTGTCCCCTCAGTGTCACCCTTAGGAGGTTCAGCCCTTCCTTTGGAGGTGATGGTGTTTGGGTGTATGGATGTATAGGGAATATAAAGGGAATATCAACTTTGCTGGACCTGCTTCCAGGGGTGGAGGTGTGCTCTCACAGCAGGCATAGTCCTGCAGGGCTTAGTGATGGCAGCTGGGCATGACACATGCGTTAGAGATATGCTTGTCCCTTGCAGCCTGTCTTTGGCAGTGATGCAGATATGGGAGTTCTCTGAAGTTCTGGGTTGGTTTCAGCTGTGGTTCTTGGTTCGGGGTGTCCTTCAGCAAGGCTGGACCAGCTGCTGGCTGCCTTCAGGCATTGCCACGTGTCCCATGTGGCAGAGTCGATGCTGTTTGTGGCAGGAAATCTTTCCAAGGAACTGGAGTCAAACACACTGTATATATGAGCTATAAATACATAGAGAAGCGTAGGACAAAGGTAGATGTATGCAGAAGTCCAGTAGATTTGCATGTTGGGGGTATGTTTGTCATTAGGGGGAGAGTATTTAGAGCTGTGCTGAATGGGGGGTGGAATTGGGATGGGCAAAGCTTGGTGGAAGGGTTGGGAGCAACAGGATTTGGGAACGGACCAGGCACTGCAGCCCTGCTGCACACAACCAAATCCTGCTTTTGATACTCATTACCCCCCTCCCCGTTTGGTTTTGGTGCTTTATTCATTGTATGGGACTTACCCCGGGCCGTCACATTGAGAATCAGAAGCGTCAGGTCCTCCCCTCTGCGTGTGCATGGCGTGTGAAAGGGCCATCACGCTGGTGCAGTGGCTTAAAGCAGAGGCAGCACCACGCAGGAACCCTTCCCTTACGTCCCTCTAGACGCTGCTCTGGTGTGGAAGCATCTGTTCTTCCCAGGAAAAGCATGAGTCAGAAGGGATGAGAAGGGATATGGCTAAATTTGTCCCTCGGGATGAGGAACGCGGTGCCAGGTGGGCCCAGCAGTGGCTCCTCGCTGGCACAAGATGTTCTTATCGATGGCTTTTCTTTCCTTTTTGCTTTTTTAAACCTCATTAGCAGGACTGTTAATATCTGTTCTGTAATGAGAGCAGAGCCTGTACTGGCACCATGGGACTGGCTGAATTCAGGCTGGCTGCTCTGCGGGAGCCCATCCCCATGCTGTCTGGGCTGTTAAAAGACAATGAGATGCTTGCTCCCATTACCCCTCTTCACCTTGGTTGTCTTTTTGGCTGAGTATCTTTACTCCTCCCTGCGTGTGTTGGCTGGGAAGTGCAGTTTGCTCCTCTTGGAGGTGAGGGCTGGAATCTGCAGGAGCAGGGATGTCACCTCCAATCTGGCAGCAAAAGAGGAAACTTGATGTCAAACTCCATTCCCATCAGTGATGTGGAGCTGGTGCTTCCTGGGAAAGGGCTGGAGGTGGGAGCCTGTTCGCCTTCCCAAGCAACTGGGATGAGTGGGGGCCTCCCAGTGCTGTGTTTCCCTGTTTTTCCCTATTTATATGTGCTTTGACTTGGCAGGTTCCTGCTAAGCTGGCAGTTCCTCATCACTTGTGTTGGCAGTGGGCATCTTGCTGGATGACCTCGGGCCCTGTGCCAACGAGCATCCCCAATCCCAGGGCTGCATCCCCAGTCCCAAGGCTCTGGCTGCCTTTTGATGCGTGCATGGATGGATAAAGGACCGTACTGGGGAGAGGGTGGGCAGGAGAAACAGGGGCCAGGCAGGCTGGTCCAGGCTGTAGAGGGGGTTGGACATGGAAAGCAGGTGCTGTAGTGGTAGTTAAAGATTTATCCTGGTTGGAATGGGGTGGGACACGTGCTATGGAGGAGACTTTGCCCAGATTTTTGCTTTGCCATCAAAAATACCAATTTCTCTCCTAGAGGAGGCTTTTATTCTTGTTCTCCTGAGGTTCCAGGGGACCAAGAGGGCTGCAAAGGGGGTGCCCATCATGCCAGGATAAGGCATTCCTGTGGTCTGGAAGCTCCTCTGATTTCCACCCCTTCCCCTCGGCACTTCTATTATAAAACAAAAGAACTACTTTCCAGCTGAGCCCCAGTATCTCTTATCTAAAGAAACGATATTGGTGTTTGGAACCTGCGTTGTATATACAAACCTGAAACAAATAGATAGTTACTTTCTATTTTAGAAGGGGGGGGAAGAGGAAATATTTAAGTGAATTCCTTAGATGTAGGTGTCAGAAATCTCTGTGCAGCAGGAGAGAGGCTGGCAGAGGTGGGGAGAGTGGGAACAGCGGGAGCAGGGCGAGTAGTTTGCCATCCTCTTGCGCTTTGGCTTCTCTGCTTCTCCATCCACCTATAAATAGACAAAAAGATATATATACAAATCTATCTATATATATATATATATAAATTCTATATATCTAAGTCACATAGCTGTTTTATTTTTGTATCCATGCCTAGTGCTGTTTGAGCAATATGGTGGCCAAGGAGAGGAGGGTTGGGTAAGGCTGGGGGGCTCAGAGGGCTCCATAGGCTCTGGCTGCCCTCCCAGCATCGCTGCTGTTTGCTGTTTTGATAGGGAAAAACATGGAAAAGGGAGGGAAAAGGGAAAAATCCCCGGGATTGGGGGGAGCCTGGGCACCCCGTTTGCCGCCAGCTTGCTGGTAAGGAAGTGGTTTTCCCACTGAGGGCTGTGTCTTGCTTGGATTTTATTGCTTCTCCAGATGAATTTCAGCTCCAGGGGTGCTGTTTTCAACGGGAAGGATGAGGCCCGTGGGGTGGCACAGGACGGGGGACACGCTGTGGGGACAGGCTCCCCATGCCGCTACCTCGCTGGGTGCCAGTGGGCACCCATCCTCGCCGCCTTGGTGTTAATCCTGATGGATCCCATGGCTTATGGAGCTGCCTGGGTGGCTGTGGTGAGGTCCCCTTAGGTCCCCATGCCTGACTGGAGCAGGGCACCTTCTCTGTAGGCACGTCAATACCTCTATAACAAACACAAGATCTCCAAGCATCAGGGTTTTACTGGTGCCGTGCAGGCTGCTGGTCCCCGGGGCGGGATGCGAAGCTTCATTCCCAATGTGTGGAATGGCATGGAGCCCTGGCTTGGTGGGCAGCAGGCACCATGGAGAAGGTGCTGGGGTGCTCAGGGCCTTTCCTGCAAAGCAGTATGGACCCGCCATCCCCTTTCCCTATGTGGTGAGGGGAAGAAGAGCCAGTTTTGGGACCGAGCAATGCCAAGGAGTGGCAAACCATCCCCTCTGCCTCCTTTAGGGCAGGATTTGGGGATTGCCTTTGGGCAGCGGTGCTTCTGCTCCCCTCCAGCTTGGTCCCATGGTCCTTACTACTATGGGGTGGGGGGGACCCAGATGTTTTTGGGGCTCAGATGTCTCTGCATGGAGACGGGATGGCGGGGCAGACCCTGGGTACTTCATGCCTCTGGGACCAGGCAGAGGACCCTCACTGTTGCCATGGGCTGAGACACGAATGTAATGCCCAGGAGCTGGTCCCCTCATGTCCTCCGTAGGTGTCACCTGTATTTTCCATGATATTTCTGTCTTCTTTGTTGGGATGGGGATGGGGAGGGTTGGGGGGGGACGGGGGGACGGGGGGGGGGGTTGGTGGTATATTTCTAATATCAAGCCAAGAGTTGTTCAGCACCAATTCTTGATATCGAAGCAAAAGCATGTTTGATGGGACTAACTTGCATTTATTAGAGGTAAATACATAAGTGAGTATTTTCTATGTTAAAACAAGGCAAAGGATGGGAGGAGGAAGAGGAGGAATGAGACTTCTCACTGGTTCGAGGGGCTGCGTTGCCTCCAAGCAGTGGGGCTTTGGGGTAGTGCTGGGGTGGGTTGGGGGGGGGGGGGGGGGGGGGGGCAGCTTTCTCCTTTCCCTATTTCCCCTGGAATCACTTACAGAAAAAAAACAGGAAAAAGAAGAAGGAAACACAAAACTCAGATGTTTACAAAGCACATTTGCCACCGTTAACCCTCTGGATGCCAAACAGACACGTCAAGAGCTGCTCCTCCCCATGTGCCATGGGATGGAGGGGTGGCTGCACCAACGCCATCATCCTGCTTCCCTTGGGATCATTGACTCTGGTCGTATCTTTTCCTTTGGTACACTCAGCCCTGCTTCCTCCATCCACCTGCTGGCAGGAGCTTGCTTTTTGGGGGGGTGTGTTTGCTTCCTGCCCCCTTTCCAGCCTCTTCCTGCTCTGCTTTGGGAGCGGTGGGAAAGCGCCTGTCTCCACTCGGGGAAGTTTTGGCTTGGTGGGAGGCATTGGACCTGCTTCCTGCCCTCCCAGATGCACTTTAAGGCCAAACTCCTCCTTTTTCTTATCTATGGGGCTGGTAGAGAGCAGGCAGAGGATGCTCCTGTGGTCCTGGAGGGCTGCAGGACCTTCCCTAGGCTGTGTGGGCTCCGGTTCCTTTGCCTTTCCTGCTTGGAAAAGCCCCATAGAAATAGAAATCCTTCTGGACACATCTAAGTTGCCCTAAGTTACTCGAACCATCCTTTTGGGCTTTCAGAGATTGCACATGTGCAATCCCTGGATCCTGGGGGAGCATCTCCAGCTCTCCTGGGTGAGCATCCCTGCATCTCCAGGGAAGCATCTTCACCTCTCCCACGGGAGCATCCTTGGCTCCCCTGGGAAGCATCTCCAGCTCTCCAAGGAGAGCATCCTTGGGTCTCCTGGGGAGCATCCTTGGAGCTCCAGGGGAGCATCCCTGGATCCCATGGGGAGCATCTCCACTTCTCCCAGGGGTGCATCCCTGTCTCCCCTGGGGAGCTCAGACTTTTTACTCCCCTTTGCTAGGTTTGTAGAGTCTCTGAACCCTCATAGATCTCCCTTAGGTAGCTCTTGATTTCATTCCCTCCTAACTCCATAGTGTTTTCCCTAAGGCTGGATTTTCTTCTGGACCCACCAGGTCTCTGGTTGCTTGCAACATCTTTTCCCACTTCTTTAGGAAGAACTTCTTGCCTGTGGATAGAAAGACTAAGACCATCCAACCTCATTTCCATTTCTTGAATGTCCAGTATTCCGATCTATAACACACATTAGGGTGCTCTTTGGTGCTGTTTCAATGGGAACCAGTGGAACTGCCTTTTTTTTCCCCCCATAACAATAAAGGAATCTTTAGGACCGCTGGTTCCATCCTGTTTCTCGTCGTGACTTTTCTTTCCTCTTTCTTAGTTCTTTTTTTTTTTTTGGGGGGGGGGGGTGTTTGGGTTTTTACTAAACAATGAGTAGCTCTCAGCTGCTGGAGCTTTGTGGTGTTGATTCTACTGCCTTGTGCACTGCGACCTGCTGCCTGCATGGGCAGGATGGATGCTGCGAGCCGGGTGGGCTGTATCACCCCTTGGGATACAAGAGGATCCCAAGGAGACTCCGAGGAGGAGTTGGGGTCGAGTCGTTTCGGTTTGCAGTTGCACACAGCAAAAAGAGCATTGGAGGGGAGCCCGGATGGCAACTAGGGGGTTAATTGTTGAACTTTCAGGTATGTTCCTCAAGAGAAAAATAATAATAATAATTAATAATAATAAAAAGAATAATAATAAAATAGAGAAACAAACCACTATTTTTTCAGTCAGCTTTTTTTTTTCTGTAAAGGATTTACAAAGAAATCTGACATGATGGTGCTGTACCAAAGCCTTATATGAAACTTATTCCGTGCTCTATATAATCTCTCTGTATCTGTAATTGTTGCTCTCGGCCTCTGTGCTCACGAAGGCCACTAAAATGCTATCGGGAGGGACCGACGGTGGCGGCGTGCTCGGCATTCCCAGGAATACCCAGCTTCCTACCCGGAGCTGGGCTGGGACCGCAGGGAGGGGAAGCCAAATTGCAGCATCACTCCCCAGGTACGTGATGAGGGGCACAAGTGGGGGTCCCTCACCCCAAACTCTCTTTCCCACTGGGTGCTAAGCCTGCCCTGGGGCAGGTAACTGAGACCTCGCTGGGAGCACTGATGGCTCCTCCTGGGCAACCTCCGAGCTCACCTCCAAGGGGATAACAACCCATCGAGACCCTTTGCCATGGGGGTTTTACATCTTCCAGCTCAGCCCAACCTAAGCAGGGCTTGGCCAAGGCAGATCTGTCCTTGCTCTCGCCCTGCGAGCCCTATCCCTGCCCTTCCCCATCTTCCCTTGGGGGTGGACGGGGAGCTGGGGCTGCTTTGATAGCTCTAAGCAATAATCCCACTCTGCCAAGAAAGTTGGGTCCCTTTGGCTCTTGGACTGTTGTCAGTTAATGAGTAAAGGCTCAAAGCCAACACCAATTGGACAACGTGAGTTTGAAGCCCTGCCTTACTGGGAATACTGGTCCCTCGGTCTCTGCCTGTTGGGATTTTAAGGCCTTCTGAGCACTTGATTTTCTCGCCGGTCCCATTGCATGTTCCTAGACTGACTTTTTATGTTGGTTTTCTTTCAATGTCCCCACGATGAGAGAAGTTCTGGCAGTGTTGCAATGTTACGTACAAGTAGCCATGCTGTAGGAGAATGATGGGTTTTGGAATCGATTAACTTGCTCCTCATGTAACATTACCCTGCTTCAGAAATGTTTTGTATTTTGATATAAATAAACATTTGCTAAAAAAAGAAAAGAGGCTTTTTTTTTGCTGTCATTGGTTTGGATTTGCCTGTGGAGATGGTTGTGGAGAGGATGCCGCTTCCTTGGGATGCGGGAAGGATCACCCCCATCCCCTGCTCACCCCTATCCCCTGCGCATCCCATTCCCTGTGCACCTCCACATCCCCATCCTGTGCACATCCCTTTGCTCCTAGGCCCATCTTGACGCCAGATCATGACCTGGCTCTGGGTTGTGCAGGTTTGGGTGTGCAGCAATGAGGGTAGCAGCCCGTCAAGCCAAAATCCACCTCATTCCAAGCTGTGGAGCTCTTGAGGCCACCCCATGCCTGGGAAGCAGGACACAGGGCTGTGTGCAGCCTGCTGTCAGGGTGGTCCCCCTTGCTTTGTTATCAGCTTTACCATCCAGCATTCCCCTTCTGCTTTGTCTTTGCTTTACATTCATCAATATTACCAGCTGATCCTCCAGTCCCCCTCAGTGGGTTTATTAATATTGCCCTCTGATCTGCAGGAAGCAGCCATGCTTTATATTCCATCCCCATCCCCAGCTCCTTCAAGCCCCAACACCACATTTAATTACATTTTCCTCCTTGGCTCAAGCAAACACAAACTGAGCTCCTGCAATCCCTCCCCTGCACTGGAGCTGGTGCCTGGTAGAGGTGGACAGCATCCTCCATCGCTTTAATAGATGGGGCTGGTGCCCATCTTTGGGGCTTGCTTGTGGGAGATTGATGTTTGTCGTTCCCTGTGGGTGGCATTGAACTTGGCAGGGAAAAAGGTTTGCCCATGGGGTTCAATGTGGAGGGCCGCTGATTAGCAAGCAGCACAGGAGCCTTGGACCACAAATCAGAAGCTTTGCTCAGGGCAGATGCTGCTCCTGCCACGTCCCACCCTCTGTGTGGTGGATCCAGGATGGAGTTAACTCGAGGGATGGATGCTCGCATGGATGCTCATGTGCAGAACAGAAACCCCTCCTGGGGCTGGATCTGCCCTTCTTGGCCCAACTATGATTCCATGGGGCAAGAAGAGGCAAAGATCTTTTCTAACCCCCCCCCCCAGGGTGGCAGCTTGGAGCCCTTCTCACTGTACTGCTGGGTGCAGGATCTGGTCTCTGGGGCTTTAGTGCTTTTCCTCTACCAGCCACTGCCTGAAGACTGTGTTTGCCAGAGTCAATAGAATAGAAATTAAGCTATTTATGTGGGGACAGCAACTCCTATGGTGTTATCCTAGGAAACACGGATGTTGGGATGAAGGAGCACAAGGAACGGCTGTTGGCAGCCCCTGGGATGAGGAGAAGCTCAGCTGGGGCTGAGCGAGGACGGTACCAACAGCAGCATCCTCAATGGAGCTGCTGCCAACCAGCTCCTTGGCTTCCACACACTGCCTGAAACAAGCCTTTGATGGTTCTGTAGTGCCTAATATTTTTCCAGCTGAGAAGCTGGTGGTTTATATTCACATCCATCCATAACAATGGATGAGATTTATTCCTGGGTGAACAGCGCTCCATGGCTCCATGCAGAGGACCCAAACCCCCTTTTCTCCCCACTAAACTCTCCCCTCCGGGCAGTCCAGTCTTGCTGTTTGCAAAGCAAAGCAAGCTGCACATTAACTTTACATTGACTTTCTCTTAGCAGAGCCCCGGGAGGTTGCTCCAAGGTGTGCAATCTGTTCTTTGGGGGCTTTATAAGCTTTTAGTAGCTTAAAACACAACTAAGTTGGCCCTAATCTCTCATAAAAGCAGGTCTTAGCCCAGTGCTTTCCTTCGCTGTTGTGTTTGCCTGATTGATGGGAAGAAAATGGGCCTCAAATCTCCCTTTGTAAAATCCCAGCTCAAACCCATCCATGGTGTTTGCAGGGAGAAAAAACACTGGGAACATCTATTTCTCCAGGCTTTGCTCCTTTGTTTTGTAAGAGCTTATCCAAGCCTGGCTGGGGTTTCCTCCCAGAGACATCCATGGAAATGGCTTGTGTGGGGTGGAGATGAAGGTGTGGAAGTGGGTGATGGAGGAGCAGGAGCGGTCTGTGCTCGTCCATGGGTCTGCCAGGATTATAATCCCCAAGGAGTGATTCTGATGGGCACTTGTGGTCTCCAGACCTCAGCTTTCACTCTCTGGTGGGTCCGTGAATGCTTTGCACTCCGAAAGGTGGATTTCTGCATCCTGAGTGGGAATAAGCATCCTTCTGGATGTCAGGGGGGACATTGCCTCCTGCAACACCCCCAAAACAATCCATAGGAGATGCCGTTGAGGCCAATGCGGCAGGACCAGCACCATTTTCATGTTACTGGTGAGTTTATGCAGAGGACTGGCTGCAACATGCGAGCACTGAAAAGTGTATTTGTCTTTGTGTCTTATTGATTTATTTCCTCTCTCCTGCATTGCAAGCTCCAGCAGCTGCAGCAAGGAAGGGAAAAGAGCCCAAGAGGCTGCTGGAGTCGGATCATGTCCCCATCAGAGCCAAGGGTCCCTTTGGGTTTGTCCCCTTGCAGGATGAAACCATCAAGCTGAGTGCTGAGAGCATCTTTGGAGTACTCAGAGGATTGGTTTGGTGGAGCAGGAGCCTAGGAATGATTCAAAGAGAGGGGTTTGTTGTGGTTGGTGACAGCAAAGATGCTCATGAAGGGTGATGTGGATGGAGGGGGTGTGAGCAGGGTGTGTATGAGCAGTGCAGCCATGGGATGCAGGAGAATCATTGCAGCCTGGTTGGGAAGCTGTAGCTGTCCCTGTTTCCAGTCTAATTGCACCATGCTTGGACCAGAGGGAGATGCTGGGCATGGCTGTGCTGATGCAAGGGGACCAAACCCTGCTCCCACTCAACAGGAGGGGTCCCATTCCCCATTTTCCCAGTAGTTTGCTCTGAGAACCATGGGTGGCATCATCACGGCTGGGAGGACATGAGCGTGTGTGTCCTCATCCGGGTAGAAGCACAACCATCTCTCCCTTGTCTCTGTGTCCATCCCTCTGCCCTTTCCACTCATTAACTCCACCATCTGCTCCTTCATTCATCTGCTATCCCCATCAATAAATCACCCCTGCCTTCCCCCTCCATCCATTCATGGAAGTACCTTTGGGTTTCCCCCTCATCCCAGACCCCCGGGACCATGTTTTGAGCTTGGAATTCAGGAGGAAAGCTCCCATGTCCCTGGGAGCTTTATTTTACCTCTTGTGATGGCTCTGGAACGCTCAGGGACATGGGAACGCATTGGGAGCTGCTCCCTCTGCAGGTGGATGGGTCGTGGGTACCACTCACATCCACACTCCACCTGCTTCCTCCTGCATCCATGGAACTGTCCCTGTTCCTCCCGGCTCTGCCCTTTTCCCCAAGGCAGGAAAGGTTAAGCCGAGATCACCCAGCCCAGATTCCTGCTCCCTGGGGCTAATTACGGAACAACATTAGATAAGAGTCAACATATGTTGTAAAAGGCACTATGTATCACTGCCTGACAGCTCCTAACAATGTGCTCATGTAACAGCTGTCAGCCTGCAATGCTTCGAAATGAGTAATATGGTGATTTATGGATATCAGACCTGCCCTTAACACTCACCAGCAACAACACACGAAGCCCTAAAGCTGTGGCACGAGATGGGCTTGGCTCAGCCTCCTGCTTTCTCCAGTGATGCTTCGCTTCCAGATGTGTCTGCATGGATGCTCCCTGTGCAGAACTATTGCTTCTTCTGCCTCCTGCTACCAGCAGCAGGAAGAGCCAGCTCCTCTCCATGGGCTCAGATAGGTCTAACTTCATTACTATGCTAACTATAAGATGATGTTTGAAATGCAACCAAGAAATACACACCAGAGCCCTGTTTTCCCCTATTCCCTGCCTGTTCAGGGCTCTGGATGCTCAGACCTTTGATTAAACCAAGCTCCATGTCATTTTGGAGCCCTGGGGTCAGAAGGGAGATTTTGTCCACTTATGAAGCCCTTGAACCCCAAACCA